TACGCCGAACACAGATGATTAATAGCTGATTCGTCAATTCACGGGCGACTTAAAATGCAGAGCCACATTTTGCTTGTTTTCTTTTGTTTTGTTTTTTTTCATACTGGAATTGTGGCCGTCAACTAACCCTGAAAGATATACCTTATTTCAGAAGTACAATATATTTCCTTACTACTGTTCTTGGGAAGCAATCTGACTGAGTGGAAATTCCTCTATAATAAGATGGGAAAGTGGCGAGAGGCTAGGGACTTTTCCTCTGTGGGAGATGAATTGCAGCGTGGAAAATAATTTATCAGCCACACGACCGCGAAAACGCTTTTGAACTCTCTCAAGCCTGGAAAGTGATGATTCCGCAGCTGTGGCAGAAATACACCATTTTTGTCTGGGATATGACGGTTCTCTACTTCTTGCCCCCAAATTACTGAGAACATTTATTTTTCTCTGTAATGCTTACTTATTTATGACCCTGTTTCTTATTCTTGTTCTAGTTCTTCCATCTATATTCTCAGACATATTCTTCCATCTATATTCTCAGACATATTCTTCCATCTATATTCTCAGACATATTCTTCCATCTTCCATCTCAGACATATTTCATTCTGTTTCTCTTTGATTCTCTGAAAAACGATTATCGGTCATTATATTTTTCTTAGTTACGTTAAGATCTGAACAGGAAGAACAAAGTACTAGGCATAGTCAGTCAGTTATGTGCCATGCATGATACACGCGTAGGCGATCATGTATCTTTTGATTCATGACTGACGAGGAAGATTTTTTCCCACCGTAGGTTGCCATTTCTTTCTGCGTTGGACAAGCCACCATCCAAGTCTATTTACCCATAGGAGAGGTGGGAAGAAGAAGAAGGATTCATACGTTTCCCAACGGTATTAGCACGTAAGTGCATGTAATGGATTCGACTGAAATTCGAACACGGCTCTCCGATTTTTCAGTTTGAGCCTTTATCCATTACTTCATACACATACACATATCCAAGGTCTCTCCTGCTATTTTACCCATACATGCAGGGAGATGAAGAGGATCCGTACCTTTCCCAAGGGTATTAGGACGTAAGTGAATGCAATTGATTCAACTGAAATTCGAACTCGGCTCTCCGATTCCTAAATCCGAGCCACTTTCCAATCTAATAAGAAATTTTAATTGCAGTTTTCATTTTGTAAAATCTTCGACGAGCAAAACTGTATTTTTGAGTTCATGCAGGTAATATCTTTCAATTTTTTTGAATTCATACAGGTAATATCTCTCAATCGTTTAAAACATCATCAATAGATTCTGAGCTGAACACCAAGGGGAATGTAATTCTTGTGTTAATAATTCTCTTTAATCGTTTGTTATGGCTTCAGCGTTCAGGATATTTTCAGGTAGTTATTCCTTATATTCGTACGAATGATTGACTGATCATCCGCTTTTCAAACTTATGCGTCAGTGTATGAAATTGATCAAGTCTAGAACAGAGGAAAGTGAAACGGAATCGTTCAAGCCATACTGGCTGATTATATCATTTAACAGTAACATCTCAGGTCCAGAAAATTTTCCAAATCGATGGTTATCTCTGTTTAAGAAATACAGATATGTCAGCTAGGTTAAGATTATCTTTCGGACAGATCTTTTTTAACCATTGCTCACAAAATGCAACACCGAAGAACCACGCAGAGACTTAGATTCTTTAATGATGAAGGTGGTAAGATATACAGATCATGAAGATATGTAGGATAGATAAAGTTTGACCCTGGACTTAAAGACTAAGCTCAAACTTTATTTATCTAAGAATTTAAATGATTTGCCTGAGAAAAGAACATTTGGAGTGGAATTTTATGATTTTTCCGATTCTGTATTATGCACCGGATTTACCGTTACTCTTTGTGAGAAAGAGACGAATCTATATAGTATATATGAACTTATGTTCATATTGTTATATTATCGTTGTAATCGACGTACGGTGGTTGTGTAGGTAGCCTTACGCAGAATTTGGAAACAACGTGCCGAGTTAAAATTCTGACGCACTGTTTTACGTTCATTTTCACACTGACGCTGTTAGGAAAGCTAGGAATCTACCTATACTAACTTATTTATAGGTTAAATAGCAATTTAAACTGGGATCTGTAGTCTTGTAGGCAGTCAGTGTAGGTGTAGGTGTTATTTCAAAGAAGAACAGCAGTGGAAAAATCAGAGATTAGTTTTTGTTGCTGATACCACATAACGCAGAGCATGGTACTTGAAGATGGTTTGGTTTGTTTTGTTGTGTCTTACATCATCTCAACCTCAATGGGTTATTTAATGCCAACAACATTTTTTTTCCTTAATATTTCGTTATGTCAAAAATCTATTTCTGGTAATATTTTTTCCTCAAAAATCTATAGCTGATAATATTATTTTAAAACATGTATTGCGAGTAATATATTTTTTTCTTCAAAAATATACTGCTGGGTTTATTTTTTCCACAAAAATCTATAGCTGATAATATTATTTTAAAACATGTATTGCGGGTAATATATTTTTTTCTTCAAAAATATACTGCTGGGTTTATTATTTCCACAAAAATCTATAGCTGATAATATTATTTTAAAACATGTATTGCGAGTAATATATTTTTTCTTCAAAAATATACTGCTGGGTTTATTTTTTCCACAAAAATCTATAGCTGATAATATTATTTTAAAACATGTATTGCGGGTAATATATTTTTTTCTTCAAAAAATATACTGCTGGGTTTATTATTTCCACAAAAATCTATAGCTGATAATATTATTTTAAAACATGTATTGCGGGTAATATATTTTTTTCTTCAAAAATATACTGCTGGGTTTATTATTTCCACAAAAATCTATAGCTGATAATATTATTTTAAAACATGTATTGCGGGTAATATATTTTTTTCTTCAAAAATATACTGCTGGGTTTATTATTTCCACAAAAATCTATAGCTGATAATATTATTTTAAAACATGTATTGCGGGTAATATATTTTTTTCTTCAAAAATATACTGCTGGTAAGTTTTTTTTTTTCTTCAAAAATTTATTTCTGGTAATAATTTTTACAAAGTATTCCTGGTATTAAAACCTATTTTTACACGTTTTTAATGCTTTTTACCTCAGTTTCGGTGTTAACGATTTGCCCATAGCTGGACCCTAACAAGTGCTACTACCCCGGGTCAGGTTGGACCTGGGAAAACCAGCAATTAAGATGTGGTTCCACGCTCCTCAAATCCTCTTGATCGGAGGCCTGGCTGCTGGACGTAGTTTATCGTCTTACCCAGGACGCGGATGTAGTTTAACGTATTACCCAGGACGGGTACTTGGAGAGCAGATGGAATCGCCAAGTAAGGAGAATTATTCAGCAATGCAAACCAATGATCCCATAGGTCAGAGGTTGAACTGAAAATAAGTCGTTGGTCTACATCCAATTCTTCTCATGTCTCTAATAATTAGGCTCCACAGCTTAATTATTTTAAAATTTCTTCTGCATGCTTTTATTCCAACTCCGATATATTTTTTTTCTCGTGAAAATTTTCCGTGATAGATTTCTGTTACCAAAGGTCTGCGCATCTGATTTCATGCTGACTCAAAAACCTTCTTTCAAATTCATCCAGTTCTAAAAATTAATTCCAATCATTAATCCAAAATAATATTTGTATCATGGTAAGTGTCATTATTTTTTTTAAAAGATTTGTCAGAAAAAAAAACATTGGGGGCTCTTTTATGATTTTTCGGGAAACATTCTAATTCACATTTTACAAGAATCCAAAATGGCAATGATAAAGATGATGACTATAAAAAAATTGCTTTTTCGCAATCACTTCCTGCCTATACACAGCAACACACGACATTATATAAATAAATAAAAAGAAAGACATTAGAAATATGCTTTGTAAGGTTTATGATTATTTTTAATCATTTCACCCCAACCAAGGCATTAATACCACTAAGACACAAGGAGTTACTGGGGAGTGGTAGAGAATGTGAAAACTTTAATGAGGTGAAAGGAAAATAAAACAACAGGTTACAAGAAGACAGAAGATGGCGATGGACGATTTGCGGTAAAGATATTCATACAAACTTAAATTGTCTTTAAATAATACGATCTTTTATATGCAGTTCCTTCATTCAAATATAGTCAATTCTAAATTAATCTTAAATACTATTCAGTTTTTTACCAACTACGGTTTATTCCAACCTACCCTTGTTTATTCCAACCTACCCTTGTTTATTCCAACCTACCCTTGTTTATTCCAACCTCCCCTTTAATTTTGTTTTTATTCAAGACCCGATATTGTTAAAAAACAATCTAATCTATAACTATCTATCCACGTATTTATTTAGCTATATATTTTGAGAAAATGTTTGACGCAGTGTCGGACAAGTTCTAAAGACAGTTAAGACGTGTATGCATATTGCTATTCAATTTTTGTTTTTAACTTTTTATCCTGATTGACAGTGTTATTATACTTGTATTTTATTATATCTTGCCTATTTGTGTTCGGTTACTGCCGATATACATGCCATTACTTGATGTTATCCTGTTTCGGGCGCAATAGAATGTAGGACCTTCCTATCTCAACTCCATCCTATTCATCGCTAGGGGGAGACTGACTTCAACCTATAACAACAGTGTTTGCCGTTAGATTGGTACAATTAATCATGAAACAATTGAAGTAAGGGGGAAAGGGTGCTGACAGCAATGGATACAAACAATATTAACTTCCCTTGTAACAGTAGGAATTTTGCCAAATCTGTCCAATAAAACAGGAAGGAAGACGTTGCAAGCTTTTGCCAATATTCCTGATGAATTTTTGTTCACAGTAGATTTCTTTTGGAACGAAACAGTTATGTATTTTTGCATGCACGTTTAAGTTTATATTTTGACTATCAAAAATGCGAGTGATAAAGCTGTTCTGTGTATGACGATCTACATAGAATCGTAATAACAAAGATAGTTTACGCCTAACAAAACACGTAGGCCAGTATATCGCTAAAATTCTCACTTATTTATTTCAGTTGTATTCTTAATCTTATTAGATAGATAGATAGATAGATAGATATGAACTGACATAGATAGATAGATAGATAGATAGATAGATAGATAGATAGATAGATAGATAAATAGATAGATAATGAGCAGGTGATTATCCGTGAAAAATGATATGGTCAAGCTGATTTCAAATTCAGTTCTAGTTTGTTGCTTTCAAGGGATCTTGGGAAAACATGATTTCTCCTTCACACGAGTGTGTTTGAATTGAATGATCGTCTTTTCTATCTCTTTATTAGCCTGCTATGAAGAAGGAAATCTCTTAATTCGCCATCGCAGAGAGAAAACTAAAATACATCATTCCACTATCATTCCTAAAACTGCATCACGATTCACAGTAATCCATAGGGAGTAATGATTCGCTTATCTCTTGAATGAATGTTTTATGTTTTATCACTTGAATGAACATGTTATACATATATATATATATATGATGCGATGAAAAAATTGTCTTCTAAATTACGCAAAAATGAAAATAACACTGATATTTCAATTTACAAGATATATTTATCAAAATTACACAAAAATATTTTTAAATAGAGAAAAGTAAAGTTATTCAATAAAATTGCCATTGGCTTCAACCATGGCTTCCACACGTCTTCGGAATCTACTGAATCTATTCTGAGTCTCCTTGTGTAAGTTAGTGAATGTTGCAACAATCATTGACTTCAGATCATCTTTGGTGTTACAATGAGTAGTGTTGGTCTATCGCTCAACTGCGCCCTACTCATCAATCGTCAGGGCATATATATATATATATATATATATATATATATAGAGAGAGAGAGAGAGAGAGAGAGAGAGAAAGAGAGAGAGAGAGATAGGATTAAATATGAACATCTGCCAGAATGATAAGATTAATGCCAAATAGGAAATGTTTATCAATCTAAATATTTAATATTAAATAAAAGCGAAACATGTAAGATTGATAAAAAAAATCAAATTTGTTTTATCATATATATATATACATATATATATATATATATATATATATATATATATACACACACACAGGGACCGATGAGTAAATTTTCGCCATTTTATATTTTTAATTTCACGCATGCGCATTGATTGTTTTTGATTTTGTCGTGTACACAGAATAGTAGGTGTAGTCAAGCACCATCTTTGAGAAAAAAGCACCAAGACGCAATTCACTCCTCCAGAAACCGCATGCTGTTTGGCATTCACGCCTGAAGCTCTGAGATTAACATTAAAAGTGTTTCGGTGTCATTCTGAAGAGAATGCATAAAATTCGGAAAAAGTTGAATGAGTCTAATGTTGATTACGAAGGTACTCACTCTAATCCTTAGGATAAGAAATGAATTTCAAAATTTGTTGGTGAGAACATCAGCTTCAACACGGTGGCCTACATCATGTGCCTTCTGGAGGTGGTTTTTCTCTAGGTCAAGTGAGTGACTGCTAGAAGAACCTATGTCTGGCAACGGGACTACACAAGCAGGAGAACACAGTAATGGCTGTCAGACAACTTCTGCGACCACATGACACCTTATATCTGGCCAACTAACTCCCCAGACTGCCACCCCCTTGATTATTATGTGTGGGCGCAGTTGAGCGAGACACCACTCCTTTATCACCAAAAATGAACTGAAATTAAGGATTATTGCAGCATTCACCAACTTAAAAAAGGAGACCGTCCAGAAGAGATGCAGGAGATCCCGATGTCGTCTGGAGGCCGTGGTTGAAGCCAAAGGCTATTTATTGAATAAATTTACTCTTTAGTATTCGAAGATATTTTTGTGTAATTTTGGTAAATATATCTGTTAAAATGAGATGCCAGTGTTATTTTAATTTTTATAATATATATATATATATATATATATATATATATATATATATATATATTCGAGAGAGAGAGAGAGGGGGGAGAGAGAGAGAGAGAGGGAAACAGGGTAATTGGAAATAGTTTTAACAATAAACACCAGATATGTATGTCTAATTATTTATGCTTATATTTTTGATTCGTACAATTTGCGTCCCACGGACGTAGGAAGGTTTTTTGTAACACGTGTAATATTTACTTGCTTTTCTGTATGCGGGGATTTTATTGTTTTCTTTCCTTCTGTGAGGCTACACACTGGAAACTTTATTGGTGTACACTAGGAATAAAAAGTCAATCACTTCTCATTTATAAACATTCCGCTATTAATAGCTCGAACGATATTGACAAGGCATTGATTCTAGCAAAGAATTCGACCCAACATGTTTATATAATTTATTCTTTTTCGGCGATTATATTTCGCAATTATTCTTGATGTTTTTACTCGGTCGGCGCCTGATCTCTGCGAAATGAATAAAATCAGGATCAATAGTGAAATATATCCTCGTTACAATCTATTTTATTGTTCCTCGATAACAATCAGCGAGGTTCGCATATTATTTTAATTATGAATCATTGGTATATATGGCCTAAAACCACAAGTAGATTTACAACTGTTTATGCCTATAAACGAACACTCATCCAAGTATTTATCAGGTCCAATGTTAGCCAAACTGATTCTTTTAATCGTTTCGCCCTAATCAAGTAGGGAATACCACTAGTGCGCAGGAGTGAAAGTTAAAAAGAAGACGGAAATCAGGTAGGATTGAGAACAAGACAAATTGATGTTGCATTTTAAGTTTTTAAGATTGTACAGGAAAGAAGGTAAACGGAAGGGAGTTTCACTGTTGGGAAGTGTGAGAAAAGAAACAGTTGGAGTAGAAGTGGCGGTTGTATTTTTCTATTTCAGCAGTAAAATGATGGGGCCTAGATACCAATCTAGTAGCATGCTTAAATTCATGTATTCGGGGCACAAACTAAAAAAAAGCCCCTCCGAGCAGATGCCATGAAAATATTAGTAGAAAAGACAGAGGGAAGCCATGTTACGACGGTAAGAAACTGACTGAAGTCGTGATGACTGGTCAGTATCGACTATATTACAATTCCTTCTTTGGATTTTGTCAAGAATCTCGATGTATACAGCAGAAGCACCAGACCAGATATGAAAACACTATTCAATCATGGACGAATTTGTAAGTGTGCAAGATGGATTCAGACGAAAAAAAAAATCTGGTACGACATAGCGACCCAACTTTTCTTGATGCAGTTATTGAATCGGTGTAGTTGCTCCACTTCAATTCAGTGGAAAACGTGAGGTCAAGAAGCCGCAGTGTGTGTCTCTCCTGGTGTCTCGCGTCAGCCATAGCGGTGGCAAGCAAAAATGGTTCTCTATGGAATGAAAACAGTTTTTTGGGGTGTTAAAAGCCGTTTATTGCCCCATGTAGCCACTCATTGGAGGTCCTTTTCAAGAGCAGCTACCACGTTTGTCAGATCTGTCGGATTTGCTATTGAGACAGGAGTAAATAGTAGTGCCATCCATGCATACCTACTTGGGAAATGATGATATCGGGGAGGTCATTGACGATAATCAGAAATAGCGTAAGACCCAGGATAGAACCTTGGGGGACACCCGCGTTGTTGAGGAAGCATCTGGAAGTGAGTCCGTTCAAAACAACCTTCATTTCACCATTTGAAAGGAATGATTGAAGTAAACCAAGCAAACGTCCTGTGAGCTTTGATGTTTTTATCCAGAGCTTCATATAAAATGATGGCCGTTAACACATCAGCGGTCGACCTGACGAAACAAAAACCATATTCTTTGTCTGAGTAGATCTCGTGAGAATTAAGATGCCTAATCAATTTGGCAATGATTAGAGCCTCGAATAATTTGTCAAAAAGCAGCAAAAGACTAATAGTGCAATACTTTGAGAGGTCAGAGTTTTCTCCAATATTCTTAAAAACAGGAACTACAGAGGAGGACTTCCAACAAGTATGGACCAGAAAGCAGCGAAGCAATTGTTGTAGTGTTTGGAAAGTAATTGGGCCAGCACGGTAGAACATTTCTCTAGGACGACGGCTGGAATACCGTCACATCCGCTTGCCTTGTGGGAATCTGATTTGGGAATGATGTGTGAAAACAGTGACAGGGTTATGCGCATATCACTCAGTAAAGCCTACATTCTAGTAGGGAAATCAGGTATGGATACTCCAGATGAGTCACGTGTAGAGTTAGAGGAGAACCTCCGAGTATAGCATTGAAACTTTTCTGCTGTAGATGTCAGGAATTCAGATTGATTGAAGAGAGGAGGGATTGAGAACTTGCTGTTGTTCAGTATGCCCTTGCAGAGCATCCAATAATCTCTTGAACCAAACTTATGCGAGTCAGATTTTGAATTATATAACTTTTTTTTTCTCGAGGTTATTCGTCTAAGTTCGATCGTTTATTTCCATTGATTAAAGCCAAATATTGACCTATCAGTGTGGGAGGTTTATGTCTGTTCTACACTTATAATTAGTGTTGTGGTTTCCTCCCTCTAAAGAGACTATGTTGGACTCTTCCGCCTACTATACTATTAGTAGGAGAGAAGGCCTTGGGAAAACAGTCGCATAGATTGTCCAACTGTCAAACTCTCTGCCTCGGACGAGGCTTTGCCGCAGGGCAAAATTTCATCCGGGGAGGTAGACAGACCCTGAACTCGTCTAGGCGGGTTCAAATGGAATATTTTGGGCCGAGCCTAAAACCCACGTTAAACTCGGCCTTGTGCCATACACATTCCTTGTGGGTGGGACTGTTAAATATAACAGTCGAATAGATTGTTCATTACTGTCGGACTCTCTGCAAAGTTTCATCCGGGGAGGTAGACAGACCTTGAACCCGTTTATGCGGGTTCAAAGGGAATATTTTGTCCGAGCCTACGGGCTCGAAGAACCCATGGTAAACTCGGCCTTGTGCCACATACATCCCTCGTTGGTAAGGCTTTTAAATATTAACAGTCGAATAGATTGAACGCTGGATAAACCGACACACACTTACTAGTCATGTAATACTCTTCTGTTGTACTCACAGTTTAATATATGATAATTCAGCAAACCTGGTTTTGTTATTTCTTAACCATTGACTTGGTCAAAACACTTAGATTCTTAAATATTGTATATACACAGGGCTAATTTTTATAGATTTTTTACGTAAAAAATAGGTGGCCGTCCTCTGTTTGTAATTTGTTTGAAGAGGTTAAAAATCATGATTTTCGCTTACTGATTACACTATACGCAAATAATTTTGATTCGCAGTACTTACAATTCATGTAAAAATGTTCTTGAAAAAATGATTGCGTCTTGCATGAAACAGCCTGTCTTCTCTGAATGTTGACTTCAATGTTCACTTTTTTATATATATATATATATATATATATATATATATATATATATATATATATATATATATATATGTGTGTGTGTGTGTGAGTGTGTCTGTGTCTGTGTCTCTGTGTCTGTATAAATTTGATTAAATTAGGACAGACAAGTTATTAAGTTTAAGCATTTTATTCCATTTTTATTTTCTTCGTACAAGCATTTTCTTTTCTGTACAGAAACTGCTAAATAAACTGTGCAAATGTCTTCTATGTCCAGCGCTTTCAGCCACTTTATTAGCAATTGTAAAGTATTATTTTAAATTGAATATGTAAAGTTTTATATATGTGTATTTATATAGTGTTTTTGTTTTCTTTCATTTTTCACGGTCAGCACATTGAGTCCATCGAGCGTGTGAGCAACGACGAAGTCTCGGAGAGGATGCAAACAAGGAGGAGGCTTATTCTTCACATCAGTTTCTGGGACACGTAATGAGAAAGGAGAACTTGAAGAATCTGATACTCACAGGTCGAAGAGAGGGAAAGATAGATAAGGGAAAGGAACACATGACATATCTGGCAGGCTTAACGTGGTCTGTGGGAAATGGCAGAGAGACGAAACTTATTGAGAGCTACAAGGAATAAGAGGCAGTGGAGAGCCAGGATTGCCTACGCACTGAAAGGACAAGGCAAATAAAATGAAAAGAAAGTTACTGCTAGGAAAATTGGTTCACTGTATCGGGCTGTACAGTTTTTTCGCCATAATCTATCAGACATATTTATAAGTTCATGCTCAGAATATTTCTATATATGACTTATTTCTCTCGTCATATATTTAGAGATTCTTGATAAAATCCAAAGAGTCTGCAATGTTATTTGTCCTGATCTGATATCTCGGCTTCAGTCGCTTACCAACATCCATAATGTAGCTTCTCTGTGACTTTTCTGTAAATTCTTTATTGGTAATTGTTCTGATAAACTTTATTCCCTGCTACCTAAACGTTATGAATTTAAATGCAACACTAGATTGACTGCAAGGTCTCATCATTTTACAGTTAATATAACTAGATGTAACACTAACTTCTATGCTAACTTCTTGTCTTTCTCTTCTCGCTTGAGTAACGCCCTTCCGGATTCTTGCTTTCCCGTTAACGTTGATATTCAAAGATGTAAATGAAATATCAATCATTTTTTCGGTCTTCTTAATTTTTGTTCATTCATTGTATTTTCTCCTTAATAGCATTTTTTCTCATATTCTATAAACACTCAGTATATCTCTATATCCCTGAGATGAGGTATTATGGTTATGTTATGGTTACTTAAATTACTTACATTATTCGGAGTGCTATCCTCATCTTCCAATCACCTGAAGAAGGCTGTTGCGTACAACGACCGAAACGTTGTAAATATAGCAGTGAAGATAAAGTAAACAGTCCGAATAATGTAAGCAATGTAAACATTCAGTAGTCACTTCCGTTTTAGTGGCTTTATTGCCTTGTTTGGGTTGAAATTATTATAATATATATGAACATTACTTTTAATGTTACATCTATTTGAGTTTATATGCCTGTAGTGAAATTAATATTTAACAAGCGAGAACATCGATAGCCTTTTTAAAGGACGTGTACATCTTAGAATATATATACGAGGTGACCTCCAAATTGCGACGGATTTGAATATCGCTTCCTCACCAAATGTATTAAAGTTCCTTGCTGATACACTTTTAAGTTGTTTGGATCCCCATGCATTCTATTCTGATTCACTTTACAAAAGAGTAGTTGACAGTATTTAGACAATGCTGGATATCTGTTGAAACTTGACTAATGCATGGAATAATAATACAACACAAAATGTACTTAGAACAAAATGTATTGAAACAAGAAAGTGTACACAATATTTACATATAGTCTTTTGTATATTCTTGGGAAGACCGTTCCTGGAGAATGTGTTGACTTAGTCGCAGTCGGGCAGAGTCTCTGGATTGAATCTTGATTCCACCCCCCCCCCTCGTCTTCCCGGTACCACCCATATTTATATGGTCGGTACTCCACTATGCAAATTAGGTGGATCCTACCACAACAATATCATAATGATTTTTGCAAATTAATTACTTTTTCCAAATATCGAACATTTCTTTTTCTTTAAATAAAGCGTGAAAAATTACACTTCTTCGATGCCATATATGGCTACATATTGCCACAATGGCATTTTCAACTGGACGCCAATTCCTGCTCATATATTGTGTGTAATAAATAACTAACGTATTAATATATAATGACAAAATTAATCAGAGTTTCAGCAATATTGGTAGACTATAATAAAATAGTCAAATTATTACGTGTTAATTCTCTTCTAGCTTGACTCCTGGGTTGATACTGCAAGCTTCGTGGCTAATAATGAAATAGAGAGAAAGATAGAAAAAAAGAATGAGCAAGAGAGTGAAAGAGGGAGAGAGAGAGAAAAAGAGAGCATGAGAGAGAGAGAGAGATTCGTCTGTTACCATCTCTCTCACACTAGCCTTCTGTTGTCTCTCTTTCTCGATAGAAGAGAGTTGTGACGAGAGAAAGCTGACGAATATGCAAAGGATTACAAGATGAATATTTAAAAAAAAGAATTTATTTTATTATAATGATTTGATGCTTGAATAAGATTTATTGAAATTAATAAAGCTTGCAAATATTGTCACCATAAAAAAGTGTTCATACTTCCCTCGTATAGTCCGCCATTTTGAAAGTTGGTGCTTTATCACCGCCGGAAAATACAGTGCCAAACATCTTCGATAGCTGGAATCCTGTTAATATTCCACAATTACATTTACGAAAGATAATAATAATAATAATAATAATAATAATAATAATAAGAAGAAGAAGAAGAAGAAGAAGAAGATGACGACGACGTTTTGGATAAATGTGCCACAATTTTACGAGAATCAATACAACAAAACTCCTCAATTAGTTTAGGGTAACGCTCAAAGATTTGGAGCAAGAAGTTAATGAGTATAGCCAGGGGATTTCCCCATAAAAATGAAATAAATAGTACGAAAAGTGTATTATATAAAGGTGCCACTGATATTAAGAACTGAAGTGAATTATAGGAAGGAATAGCCTTGCCATCCCAGTTGTTTAATATAGTTTCAAAATCTTGAACTGGACACTAAATAATATTAGTCGAATGGATTCTAAGGCAAGAAAGCTTCTTTCTAAGCACCACATACCTTATCCAAAGATTGATGTTAACCGTCTTTCCATACCCCTAAAGAAGCTGGAAGAGATCTTATTCAGTTAGAATTGTCAAACAGGAAAACAACTATTGGCTTGCTAACATACATGAGAAGAACAAAGGACTGGATTATACGATTAGTCAAACAAAAGGAAAATAGAAGAAAATCAATCATGAAAGAAGATTGTAAAAACAATCGAGATTTACATTTAGTAGATTCTGTAGAAAACCTAAAACAGAACTCAAGAACAAACGGTTGCAGCAAAAATTATGAAAGACAAAGACAAAGATAAAGCAGCTGAAGAGATGAAACAACACTGGAAAGACAAACCTCTGCATTGCCAATATCCAGCATATGTTATTAAAGACGATGCTGATAAGGTTAACACTCATCGATGGTTACGAACATTTGGATTAAAGGCTAAAACGGAAGGCTTTATTCTTGCAGCGAAAGACCAGATTCTCTTCACTAGAAACTCTCAGGAAAATATCATACATAATAATGTGGATCAAAAATGCAAGTTCTGTGAGAAATATCAAAAAATCATAGACCATCTAACCTCAGGATGTTCTGTATTTGCGCCAAATAAATATAACATTTTCACGATAGTGTGGGGTGATATTTACACTGGACAATATGCAAACACTTTGGAAAAGTTGTTAAACACTAGCGTGAACATCACCCAATACAGCTTACAGAAATAGAAGGTATCACAATTCTACAGGATTAAACCCGCTTTAGAGACAGAAAGATTGAATCAAATGAGCCGAACATAATTGTCAAAAACCGAAAAGAAAAAAAAAACTTGCCTACTAATTGGTACAGATTGCTCAGCGGACTGTAACATATAAACCAAGTAATATGAAAAAATATCGAAGTATAAACACCTGAAAATCGAAATAAAATATTGTAGAAATTGTAAACAAGAATAATAACATTTGCAGTAGGTGTGCTTGGAATGATAAAAAAGGAATACAACAACACATTGAAAAAATTCCTGGAAATCCCAGCTGAAGAGAAATAGAAAAATGTCTTGATGAGTACTGCCCGAACACTTTGTCCATGTAACGCTAGTGGTGTTATGGCAGTTAGAAAAATCATGATATATAGCCATAAAAACATATCACTACCTGCCTTAGGCCTTCTTGCAGACTTGGTTCCCAGTGTGACCATAGAAAAAATCGAAATATAATAATAATAATAATAATAATAATAATCTACTATCTATATTTCTCATGTTGTCTGTCTGTGTGTCTGTCGTGGGCGTTGTTACCTCGCCCAGGCCGCATTTCTCACCCGATTCCGATGCAGTTTTCAACACAAGTTTGCAAATGGCTGCCGTAAGGACATGACGGAGACCGATTTTTGAGTTCAGAATCAGGTTCCGAAAAAATCGATAATCGAAAAAATTCTGCTTACAGAAGGAATGATCGCATTTCAACCAAATTTGACACCCTCTTAGAGTCTACCATTAGAAGTGTTGTCCAGAAGTTTCATGACCACGGACCCCTAAACAGCGCGGAAAATCGATAAAACACAAAAACCGATACGCCTAGATTGCACCTGAACCGCATGTCGGGTTTTAGCGAAAACCGAGCTGATTCATGAAGAAGCCATTGGGAGTCATCATGTGAAGTTTTAACTCTGAGCACACCCCCACCAAACAGAGTGCAAATCGACAATCGGTCAACCCTTAAAAATGTTTTTTCCGTTTTTTTAAAGCTGATCGTATTGTGTTTATTTTGTTTAGTTCTTTTTTTCGTAACAGATTTAATGTTTACTCTAGAACTTAGAAAAAGTTGGCAGTGTGATATAGGCAAGAAGTAAGACTTGTAACAACATCAGCACGGCAAAGGGCACTCCTCTAAAGACAAGGAAGGGCAAAAATACAAGTCAAGTGATAGCGATTGCTGTATTAGTCGTACTATTTTTGAATCAAGCATGGGCAACGCCGGGCCATGCTGCTAGTAATAATAATATTGTGTTAGCCCAAAATGCAGATTCTGTAATAAATATTCAGAAACAATTGATCATTTTGTATCAGGTTGCACGGTATTGGCACAGACTAAATATAAATCTCGGTAGGACAGTGTGGGCCAATATCTGCATTGGAAAATCTGCAACTTCTACAGGAAGGAAAGAAATTGGTATGAACACCACCCAGACTCGGTTACGGTGATAGGACCTATAACAATTTAATGGGACTTTAAAATATGTATAGAACAATCAAAGCAAATCAAACAACAAAAAAAAAAAACTCCTTATTGATATGGCAGTCCCTACGGACTGCAATGTATTTTTGAAGAATTTCAAAAAGCCATCAAAATACAAGGACCTTGAAATAGAAATCTCAATAATGTGGCACATGGGAACATCAACAATCCCTGTTGTAGTTGTAGCCCTAAGATTGGTTGAAAAAGATTCCAGTAGACTAATTGAAGGGATTCCTGGAAGTCCATGCCTCAAAGAAATACAAAAAATTGTTCTCAGAAGTACAGCCCACACTTTACGAAGGGCTTTATCTATGTAATTTTTTTTTCAGTGGAAAGTGTCATGACGCCATTTCTAACCTTAGGTCTCTGGTCGGGACCCAGAAAGAAATGTGTACATGCCAGAAATAAAACGAAATAAAAAATAAATAATAATAATAATAATAATTCGCAGTGCCGATGATGATTTACGGGTACCGACTATTTAAATTATCTTGTCAAGAGTTCCAAATATTATGAAAAATAACTGCCAAGTCCCCCAGGGTCTGTGAGTAAAAAGGGCACGGTAAGTGTGTTATTTATGCACATTTAGAACGTTCCGTTTAGATGAAGAAGGTTTTACAAATTATATGTGCAATTCAGCACAACCTTCATGGTTCTGGGAATGCTGATGTGCCCAGGAATTCTATTTAAATATTTCTCAGTGACCTTCTTTACATTACCCAATGCACTTATCACGACAGGCATAATCATAATTTTTTTTTCCACATTTTTGTTATTTCTGTTTGCAAGTCGTCGTCGTCATCCTCCTCCTCGTCATTATTATTATTATTATTATTATTTTTATTATTATTATTATTATTATTATTATTATTATTATTATTATTTCCTTTGACTTCTGGTGTATATTCATTTATTTTCGGGTTCCGACCAGAAACATAAGGTCAGAAATGTCATCATGACATTTTTCAAAAGACAAAAACACACACATATTTTATATAGATAGGATTACCTTAGTAATCTGCGGGCTGTACTTGTGAGAACTTTTTTTTTTTAAGGCATGGGCTACCAGGGATCCCTTCCATGAGTCTATTGGAATCTTTTCCAATCAATCCGAGGTCATTGTACTTTGATAGTTTTTTTGAAGATCTTCAAAGATATATTACAGTCTACAGGAACTGACATACCAATAAGAAGACACATTTTGTTTTTGTGGTCTCTTATCATGATGTCTGTGTGTATTGTAAAGTCCCATAAAATTGTTACAGGTCCTACCTGTGTAACCGGATCTGGGTGGTGTTCATACCAATTACTTCAGGTTCCTGTCTCCTAAATTTGCAGATTTTCCAGTGCAGATATTGGCCCACTCTGTCATGCCGAGTTTTATATTCAGTGGGTTCCAATACCGCGCAACCTAAAACAAGATGGTCAATTGATTATGGATATTTCTTACAGAATCTGCATTTTGAGCTAACACAGTTTTTCAGTATGGTAAATTTGGTAATTTCTAGTCAGCAAGCATTAGTTCTGTGCAGCAAGAATAAAAACTTCGGTTTCTGCTTTTAACCCTGCATTAGGTAGCCATTGATAGTTACGGGTGTTGTCTACATCAGACTGTTTGGTACGGGCAGAGTATTGACCGTGAAGTGGTTTATCTTGCCATCGTTTCTGTATCTGGTCGATTGCATTTGCCTTTGCTTTCTTCTTTTAAGTATTTTGCACCTGCAGTCGGTGTATTATGCTTTACTTGCATTTCTTCTCCCATTCAAAACTCCATTTTAAACTTGTTGGTTTCTTCTTCTTCTTCTTCTTCTTCTTATTATTATTATTATTATTATTATTATTATTATTATTATCTTTTTTGGTATTCTATTTCTTTGAATCTCTTACAGATATAGAGTAATAGATATATTCATTTTGTCTGTGGAAATTCTGACAGTAAGAACTACTGAATTTCTGGGACGAGGAATTATCAATATTCACAATAATTATATTCAGAATATTGTCCCCCTCCTTGTTGTTATCACTGAACCCTTTATTTAATCTATAATTCCTTATTTAAATCTTTAGACGTGAGCAATGATAACAAATACAGTCTATCCTCGTATATTAAATAAAGGTTTCAATTCAGAATTCCCTGTAGCTTACCTAGATCGATATACACCTAATGAAGGCCAGAGAGTACATCGGATGAAACATTTATGATACCAGCAACAAAGATGACGATAATAGTCTGAATATAGATAGTGTAAATCATTTGTTCATTAATAATACTTTTCTAAGTCGATGAGCAGTTACACCTACTGGAATATATTTTGCTGTTTTGTAAACAGGGACATCACGATTTTGTTCCTGTCTGTACCATTTTAACGAGCCTCTTGTTTCAATGAGTATAGGTATGACAGTAATTATTCAGTTGCCACAATTCTTTCAGCTTCCATTTCAAGATTCCTATATTTATTAATTTTGTCACATTATTTAAACGATATATCTCAAACTATAAATTAAAATAAAAAAAGCCTCAATTGACGCGGTTTTCAATATCACTGAAGTGGATGTTAAACGCGTAGTAGCATTATGGCCTCTTCTTTGTTTTATTTCTTTCGTTTTTCTTTTCTCTTTATCTCTTCTAAACTAAATAGCTCCTTTGCAGCGATCTAAATAGGTATATTTTTCTTTCGTCTTCAATCTTCATCAAAACGGAAAAGTCTATTATTACTTTTATGTTTGGATTTACAACCTTCCAATCATGTCTTTAGGTGAGAATGCCGAAAATCAAGCATTTGCTGAAGTCACCAACCCTGAACCTACACCTTTTACGCAAAAAGTGTAAGTAAAATCAGGAACAAACAATAGGAAGGGAACGGGTTGGCCTGGCACCGTCTACTTCCGGAAGAAAGAAAACTCCTCAGCTTCAAGACAGGTTGCTCAAAACAATTTAGCTTCAACACATTGAGTGCTGAACAGTTCGATGGAATTACTCTATGTAAAATACAAACAGTCTCAGTTCTCGGTAAGAAGGACACAGTTGAAGACAACAACACCTCAGTTCGAAACACACAACGTAGTTATCCAAAAAAAAACAAAAAAAAAACAATCGCCTCAAAACTCCACTGATCTTCGCACTCAATAACAACTCCGCCTCGTAGTTCGCTACACACGATCTCCCGAGTGGTCTCCCGCCGTCACTTTTATGCCCACGAACGCCAACCAATTTGCATACGGCCAAGTTCACCTCTCGCCAATCCTCGCAGCTACGAGATTGCGTTTCCCATAAGACCGACTCACCGTAATGGCGGTGTTTCTTCCTTCGGATCAATTACTACCCTGCATGCCAGACACAAACGAACCCTCTTATGTCGAGAGATAAGGTTAGTCTCACTTTTATGTCCACTCTCGCACAGGTCTTTCAAACCACTGGTGGTGCAGTAGTAGATCTATAGTACCCTACAGAATCTTCATCTAAGAGACCAAGTCACAGTATATAGATATTTACGGTAATATTTTTTAAAGCATTTCACCACAAACAAGGCAGGGATGTCACTATCAAACAAGGGGTTATGGAGAGTGAAAATGAAAGAAAATGTATGTAGGGGGATTGAGGAAACGAAAAAAAGGACTGGGATCAAAACAAGTGAAGATAACATTATACGTGTTTAAATTTTTAAAGATTATATTTATCAAGGAAGCAAGTAAAAGGAAGGGAGTCCGAATGTCAAGAAATAAGGGGAAAGAAGGTGTTAGGGTAGAAGTGGCGATTACATTTAACTATGTTCAGAGTAAATGGATGAGAACTAGATGCCAATCTGGTAGCGTGCTTAAATTCATGTAGTCGGACCACCAGGAAAAAAAAAAGCCCGTCGGAAAACTTGCTATGAAAATATTTCCAAAAAGACAGAGTGAGGCTACATCACGTCTGTGAGAAAGTGTCTGAAGTCGAGAAGCCAATCCATTACATTACAGATCCTTATTTGGATCTTATCGGGAGCCTCGAGATGAACAGCAAGGGAACTAGACCAGATATGGCAACAGTATTCAACGCAAGGGTGGAAGATTTGCAGTAAGATGGACTCTGACGAGAAACACCTTCTGGCACGACACGGAGAACTAACTTTCCTTGCAATAGATGCAGCTATTGATTCAGTGTAGTCGTTCCACCTCAAGTCAGTTGAAAACGTGAGGCCAAGTAGGTGCAGTTAGAAAGCTCTGACGGAGACGAGCATCAACCATGCTGATGGCGAGCATGGACGTATGAATTAGAAAGTGGAAAACAATCATTGTAACGTGTTTTCCTCTAAAAAGACTTCATAGAACAAAATAAATATGTTTGTTGATGGAATTAATATACGTATAGGAAGGGGGAGTATTTAAAACGTATGCTTCGGTTATTATTAAACATCATTAGGAAATTGTGAAGATGTTGGATAGGTTTGATTTGTTTTAAGGCATATCAAAACTCAATAGGTTATTTAATGCCGACAAGAATTTTATTGCTGGTAAAAAAATTCAAGTTGTATTGTTGGTAATATTCACTGTTGTCTTCCATCTGTTGTGAAGCTTTGTATTGAAATTTTGTAAAAGCATATTATTCATTATCTGTCTATATTTCTGAGATAAGGTATTATGTACACCATTTACATTATTCTGACTATTGTCCTCATCTTCTTGCCATATTTAAGAATGCCGGAGCGTACTTCGGCCGAAATGTTGTGATAAATATGGTAACAAAGATGAGGACAATAGTGTACACATTATTCAGTTTCAGATGTGGTCTAACTTGAGAAAGCCTTGCTTGGAGTTATGAAAATGTGCTCAGGTCGAAACAAGAAAATTTAATGGTGTTTTTCGGTCTAAAATCTAACACAACACTTACACGATTCACCGTGGCCATCATCTTCATTACGCAACAGACTGCCTTAAACCTTTTTTTTCCAATCCATTAATTGATATATTTTATTTGACTCGCGTCCCAACTTCTGCTTACGATATCCGTTTTATACGGATAGAAAAGCTCTTGGGTAGAAACAATTGTCTTTCATGAATTTGTACAGATTTTTCACAGACATCTTTATATGCAGAAGATTGCACCAAAATGAAAGCCATTGAGTTCCAACCGTCTTGAGAAGATCAGTCTATTTGAACTTGTGAACATTTACATAAGCGCCTAATATGCCACAACGAGACCTGTCCCTTTATTCTGTCTGTCCATTGGCACCTTTACTGTACTTTACTTATATAAAGGTCAACATTTTCAATGAATATTTGCAGACATTTCTCCTGCAAAAAGGGGGAAATCTATGGCAGCACGTCTCCTCTAGAAGAGCAGCCATTTTAAAACAGGATTATGCGTAGGAAATTAATGAACTTCCTAATTTTTTTCGTTTGTCTTCGAGATGAGTTATGGATTTTAAAAATAAATAAATACTTAAACTAGAAATTTTAGTACGCTTATGATTAACTAGCAACAGACATTTCTTTTTAAACAGTCTTTTGTATATATATATATATATATATATATATAGATAGATAGATAGATAGATAGATAGATAGATAGATAGATAGATATGTACAAACCTAGATAGTGTTATGGTCCGGTTCGTTGTACCACGGTGATAGTCCAAGGTAGAACCAATAAAGAAGAACTGGAAAACGTATATGGAATAACACAGATATATTACAAACAGGAATATATACAGAGAAGTAGAAAGTGTTAGTTTAGTAGTAATTGTCTGAACGTGACTCTGTTTCGGTCTGCCTCTGACTCGACTGAGTGACTCGCTCGCTCTGACTGACTGACGGACCTCACTCTACACTTCAGATTGAACTCCCTGCTTCCTCTTGAGGCGCAATATTTATTACGTATGGAATAGTCCATTATGTTATTATGGGTAAGGTCCCATAACAGATAGATAGATAGATAGATAGATAGATAGATAGATAGATAGATAATGAACATATTAAGATAGATAGATAGATAGATAGATAGATAGATAGATAGATAGATAGATAGATAGATAGATAATGAACATATTAAGATAGATAGATAGATAGATACGAACAGACTGATGTATGAAAAAAGACTAGATAAAATGACGCAATAAAATGAATGGAGAAACAAAATGTGTGGTGAAGCTGCTTTCCCTTTGACTCGTTTAGGAAGATGGATGATTTAAGACTCATTTCTCGATGATCACTAGAAGCGTAACGAAGAGGGCAATTAAAGGTCTCTACCGACTAATCAGCCGTGCAATTAGCAATCATCAAGAAATGCTTTCTGAAACAGTCAACATTCACTCATATAATGGTTGCATGCATAGGCCTTTCATATATGTAAAAAGGATCGTTTCTCCGACAGTTTATATTACACATAATATATATATATATATATGTATATGTGTGTGCGTGCGCGTGCCTATGTGTGCGTGTAGTCATATATACATTTATTTTTAAGTAATTTTCACCCAATTCAAGCGCCGTGAGCCACTCAAGGTAGAGAGTTACTGTGTAGTGCTCTGTCAGTATAAGAAAGGGCAAGAAGTGAAGTTTTTGGTGCTTTAGAGAGAAAGATACAGGCTAACTTGAAGAGGTCAAAATTTAGTCGTGAACCCAATTATAACAGGAAATAATGGCTAGACCCCGATTCTGTTAAAAAAAAACAAGGGGGGGGTATGAAAACGATATGTGAACCTATCTATTCCTGTTAGGAAAGATGAAAAAATAAATAATAAAATATCAGAGCTCAATTGGTGACGTTAGATATATGGAGTTGAAGTAGACTTAAGACGGAAGCGGAAACACAATGATAAACAGTAAAGTGTGTGTGTGTGTGTGTGTGTGTGTGTGTGTGTGTGTGTGTGGCCGTAGGAATCATTACTGCAATTAGTTTCACATATTAACGTGATCTTCAGACTAAGGAATGCAAACTGCACGTGGATTAGCATCATTGCGCCTCAGTGTGATCCTCGCTATTATTATAAACTGACCGTCATATTGAAACACCGGTTCCTGTACGTCACTGAAGTTAAGCAACGTCGAGTCTGGTCAGTACTTAGACGGGTGTCTACTTGGGAATACAGGTGTTGCAAGATTGGATGTGCGGTTGGTGTAATGAATAATGGCTCGGAATTTTTAATCAGAGAGCCGAGTTCCAATTCCAGTTGGGTTCGTTATATTCACTTACGCGCAAATACCGTTGAGAAATTTATGGATCCACCGCTTCTCTTCCAGTTATGGGTTAATTTTTAAGACTTGTATCACTAAATCCTTATTGTGTTCACGCCCCGAAAGAATGCTTATTAGGTAAATCTCATTTGTGGCTTTAAATAACCTGAAAAAGTTTGATAAACAGTAAAAAAAGGTTTCAACCAACAAGCATATAAAATTTCTAATTCTTAAACTAATAATTCTTCCGGCCAAAATACAACAAATTTAAATTAGATATGCACACATAACTCAGATTATTAATGCCTAACAAAACACGTCGGCTGATAAATTACTGAAGTTTAAAGGAAAGCGAATTTTTTGTAAACAAATTGTGGAAATTATTCAGTAATCCGACTGGTTGAAAAATCTGGGGCTCGCGTTCTCTCTTGATATAAAGTAGAAAAACTATATTGAAGTCATTGCTAAGTCAGCTGCTAAGAAAATCTCAACAAAATCTAACTTACATATTTATAAGTCTACTCACTATTCGTCAAAGCTTAGAACATTGTTACTACATATGTACCGGTACCCCTGCTATATTCCTTGAGCTCCTTGATATGATCCAAAGAAGAATTTGCAATATTATTGGTCCTGATCTGATGGCTCAGCTCCAGTTACTTTCCCAGCGCCGTAAGGTTGCCTCTCTAAGTCTTTTCTATAAATACAGGGTGCGGCTGATATTTGAGGACATACAGATTTAAGATTAATACTGCTTCCCACTAACGCTTCTAATGCTTGTATTTTTCAGAAATCAAGAATGGAAAAACCTATGATAAATGAAATGAAAAGGCATGCTGTGATTGTGGCATTAAAGGCTGATCATAGTGATTTGGATATTGCATGTTTCCTCAGAGTTACAAGATCTTTTGCCCACAAGATACGAAAAGAGTTAGAAGACGCTGACTTGTTCCCAAATTTTGTATCAAAACGTAAAAGGCATTCTGCACGTTCGGATAAAGTAAGAACATCTGAATTTATTCAGGAAGTCAAGCAGACAATTGATGAAAACCGAGGTCACTCAATGAGGTCAATTGCCAAAAAAGCTGCATGTGTTTGAAAAAACGATCAGAAGGAATGTTCATGAAGACATTCGATACAAGTCCTACGTGATGAAGAGAGGTAAATTCATGTTTGAAAAACAAAGGAAAACCGTTTAAACAGAAAAAAACATTTACCGGCCTGAATGTCCGAGAAATTTTCATAGAAAAATATTCGTCCTTTGATAAAAGGCCGATAAATGTTATTTAATACTGTTTATTATAAACAGAGCATTTACTAAAATACTTGTATCTTTAAAAAAGAATGTTAAACATAAAAATGTCTTTAAATAATTGTCGGACTTTGTCCATTTCATAATATATATATATATATATATATATATATATATATATACGTGTGTGTGTGTGTGCGCGCGTACGTGTGTGTGAACGCTAGGTGTCGGCAAAATATATTTACTGACTCACAAAAGGACTGTGCACTAACATTATGTCAATGCGGCCTCTAAAAATGTAACATTGTCATCACTCTTTCAGACGTATCGAGAACTTTAACATGGCAGCTTCTAATCTGACACAGGAAATTAAAAGACACGCCATGTTCGAAGCACTAGTCATCAACCCCATCGCCTTGGAGGTAGCCATCTTCTTGAAAATTGTCATGTGGACAGGAGGAACGGCAGGTGTCTCTGCACAGATGCACACCAAGTTCACGCCAAGGTCCCACCGTGTTGTGATCAATGAGGGTCATGCCATGCCACAATTCACTCTTCCCACGGGGCTTCTACTTGATGGATAGGATGCTCAAGCTCTGGATCGAAGGCGTGGCTGTGAATATTCCAGAAGTTTACTGCTCTCTAACAAAGTAAAAATAACAAAGGAATAAGTGACCGAGAATTTTCACGGTCATATCACTTGTATCACATCGTATCTAGCCTTATTTGAAAATCCTGGATTTCCTTCGATTAAATCGAATCAGATAATAAGCAGCGGTATAACAATACAAAGGCCGGTATCTTTGAGGTGATAGTCATATGAATGATAATCAGTTTATCTTTGTGTGTATTTCTTTCCTAAGACGTCCATAAAGTTGTGTGTGTTTTTTATCCAATAATAATTTCTGTGTTTCTATATTACACATGGATAGATTTTTGCCACGTATTTTTTCAACTGAATATATATATATATATATATATATATATATATATATATATATATATATATATATGAACTGGATGCAGTAAAAAGACACCAGTATATAAACCCTTGTCTTTTTACTCCATCCGGAGGGAAGCGTCAAAAGCTTTTATTTCATTGGCTGACGTTGACAGGCTTATGTCACTAAGAACGGTCGGACTTCTAGACATATCTGAATTTTTCTTTGCAATGTCGATGTGAATAGCACAACGCTATCAAGAAAGCGACCTGACTCTTCTGGAATCAGGTCGGGTTTGCTGTTTGAACCGATATGGGCATGACTGAAGACGACCCTTGATGCATCTGAAGTGTATTATGCAACTATATATATATATATATATATATATATATATATATATATATATATATATATATATTACAATTGAAATGGGTGATGATTTTCTTTAGCGTTGAATTCAATATTATACTTATATATATATATATATATATATATATATATATATGTATGTGTATATATATATATATATATATATATATATATATATACGTATATGTGTGTGTGTATATACGTATATATATAGAGAGAGGGAGGGAGAGAGAGAGTGAACCTTGACCGGACGAGATATAATTTTTGCATAAACATACATTATATGCATGTATATGTTGTTTGTGCACTAGCGCGCGCGCGTGTGTGTGTGTGTGTGTGCCTGTGTCTGAGCCTGCGTCTGTGTGTGTAGGTTGTAAATTGCATATTTATGGCGAGAGACTTCTAAGGTTAGGTTACCGAGTGTTTACAAAGAGAATAATTGTTATATAAGAATTAAAACTGCAAGTTTAAAATCTAAATCCCGCGAAAGGGTTTATAGTTTTCCCAACGAGAGAAAAAAAGAAGAGGGGATTCGCAAACTGTTTTGGTTGTAATGTAAAAGAATAGAATGTTTAATGCGAAAAAGATAAGGAAAATTAATTAATTTTAATAATATGTGGAAATATCAACTCTTTGCCTGAAGAAGGTCGCGAGGCCCGAAACCTGTGTTGCAAGATTATAGAAAATAAAGCAAAATATATTAAAAAAATCCACATTACAACCAAATCGTTTTCGGTTTCTCTCTTCTTTTTAATATATATATATACATACATAAACATTTTATATATATATATATATATATATATATATATATATATATATATTTAAAAAAGAAGAGAGAAACCGATAAAGCTTTTGGTTGTAATGTGGATTTTTATATATATATATGTTATAAATTAATTGATTTAAAATATGTTTTTTCCGCTACACAGTTCTAACCATGTATGTGTGTGTGTGTATGTGTGTTTGCATGTGTTTGTGTATTTATGTGTGTGTGTATATATATATATATATATATATATATATTTATATATATATATATGTGTGTGTGTGTTTGCGTGCGTATGTGTGTATGTGCGTGTTCTAATCCGATATTAGAAAGTCAATGTACTAAACTACAAAGGAAAAGAATGAATAATTAACCATCATTTAATAAGAAAATGTTATGATGTATAGAGTATTCGACTCACTGGCTTATGCGTGTGTAGTGAATTGATTCCTACCAATGCTGCCGCATATTTCTGGTTTAGATGCCATTCCTGATCAAATTAATAATTTTCTCTCCCCCTGAAAAACATATACATACGTGGGTGTGTCATTGAGGTCGCGTGTGTGCGTATGGAATATGATTTTTCCAAAATATTTTAATAGGAAACTGTTTTCGCAGCAATTGTCGTTACATCCGAAATGTTACTAAGGTTTAGCCATTGAACCCTATGTCAGCTACCAAAATCATCTGGTATTTATTATCAATAATTGGTCGGTATTGACCTCATCATCGCCAAGCATCTTTTGTCTTTACTTACAATATTTAATCAAGAAACGTCTATTGGATCGACTTGGTCAAATTTAGTTTCCACAATCAGCCGATGTTATTTCGAACGGATGGAGATGAAAAAGAAAAAAATATATAACTATAAAATAAGTTTTAAATTACAATGAAAAAAATGCAAAAAAAAAAAAATCGTAATGTTTATCAAAAAAGATTAAGACAGACGGAAAAGTGTTTTCGAATTGAAGTTAATAAAATCAGAATTATTTGGTATTGTTTGCTGGAGGGAATGTCTGTTTTTCTTCCTGTCATTTTCCTTACATTTTTTTTTTGTCTTGTATTAATACCGCAATTTGAATCACCAACTTCGCTGTGCAGCGAAATGACAATGACATGATTGAACCGCAAATAATATCCGGGTTTAGTCATCCGAAATATGTTTTGTTTCTCACCAGATTCTCCACCCTCTCTTTTACACCTTCTCTGTACAAAAGTCTTTCTTTTATTGCTTTTTTGTCACTTTTCCCATTACCTTAATTTATTTTTATAATATCTGTAGTTATTTCCGTATTTATCTATTTCTTTTTCTTTCTTTATTCGCCACCTGTCTTTTTCTTTCTTATTTTCTTGTTACATTTTTCTTTCTTTCGTTTTCATCGTCATTATTTTCTTTTACTTCTTCGAACTCGCTATTTACTAACCTTAGCTTAAAGGAACACAAGATCAGACTTGGGAAAATGGCGGATACAGAGATTATAAAACGAAAGGAGAATGTGCTTGCCTCGAAACTCAACATCTATTTGGGGATCAAGTAATCGATCTTTGCCACGAGTGAAAAAAAAACCGTTTCGCCTTAAAATCAAACTTTCTTTCTCTTTTCCATTGTCTTTTCTGAACTCAATAATTATTTTAATAAATGTTTCTTTCTTATTTTTTGTATTTATCTATTTTCGCTTTTTTTGCCTCTGTTATTTACTCAGGATAATTTACTAATGATAATGCTAATATAATTCATTCACCAAGAAGTGTTACTTTCGGTTCATATTTTTAAAATCATTTTCTTCAAATGAAATCAGTTTTCGCATGTCCACTAAGTGTTCATGCTCTTTCCAGTTTTGACGGGGGCTTTCTTCTTCTAGAAGAAGAGGATGACTTCAGAATCTTGAAGATGTCATTATTGTCTCATCGAGATACATGTGGTATTCATTGTTTTTGTTGTTATTGTAAGTTCTAAAATGATGTTGTTTCTTTTAATTTTACATTTTATTTTTGTGATTCTGTAGTGCCAGTCAAAAAGATTTGATGGAGGATATTCCTCACAGAGGCCTCCAGCTTTCCTTTGATTGAGGACGTTTTTAGCAATGGTCCGAGAAAGCTAATTTATACAGCTGGTAATTTATGTAATTCTGTTTGGTGTTGCCTCATATCCATACAAAAGTCATAATCTCACAAGGCTGTCCAAGAAGATGACTCGAGGTTAATGTTTTGGTTGTGTAGCAACTTGCGGTATTGGGCGAAACTAATTCTATATTCACTGTTTTTATCTCCTATATTAGATTTCTTATAAATGATCCAAACATAATTTTTATGATGGATTCAGTGTAAGTGCCATCACTACTTACTTACTAGTTTCAATTCCAAATCATAGTTTCTATTTTGAAAATGTATGAATTAATGTAATATGTAAGCGTGGGAAGATTATGCAACGCCAAACTTCAATTAGATAAAAGAAAACGATGCTAACGAGCTGTATAAGGGTTTTTCAATTCCACTTATTTACACTTTGGTTTCTTTCTTTATGCATATTGTGACGGGTGCCTACAAAAAATCGCCTCCATGTCATCACACTCTTTTTTTCTATTATACGCCTCCCTCCATACCACCCTTCCCTTCTCATCACAGCAGTGAACAAACAAACACGCCTGTAGCCGCAACAATCAGCAGCAGCTGGAGCGAACGGACGAACCACGACACGATTGTTCGAAAAAAACTGAGTAGCGCTGATTGGACAAACAGCAGCCAATCAAAAGGCGAAATTATGACGGCAAAGATGAGTGACCGCGAGGGAAAATATAGTGAGTTGCAGAGATGGATTGAATCCGTGCAGACATCGTCATGGTTTACACAAGAAAAATGGCAGAACTACAAATCCGAAATGTGATGTATCCTGGCCATAAAGAATCCGAAGCATATTTAAATCGGAGAAAACATACGCTCGGCTCATGTCAATTGAAAAAACGCTAATTTCGATTCCGTTCGCCGCATGCAGCTCAAGAATCGACGAATTCGAAAAGGAAAAATCTTCCATACAAAAATCACAGATGCATTCCTGGATAGAATCAAGTGGAAAGGAATAGAAGCTCCTGAGCAAGATCATAAAAGATATATCGGAAGAAAAGAGAGAGAAGGAAAATATCGTTCTTAAAAAAGCGGGAAAAGAAAAAGAACTCATAAACAGATAAGTTCGTTCATCCGCGCCCCATGGTTTTCCAGCATACATCAACATATTAATAAAGTATTCAATCTATTCACCATTACATGAAGATGTTAAGCTTCCCCAAACTGATCCACCATATTTGTTCATTCAACATTGCTAAATGCTGTAACTGAACTGTATTCTGATCATCTTTCCAAGTCTTGGATATTTATTTCCTTTTTTTCTGTTATTAAATCTTAGTTAATCCAAACATCTTGTTGTCTTGTTCCTGATGGTCGATCTGTTAAATTCCACTTTCACTCCACGTGATCGAAGAGGGATCCGTGTGTAGATGGGTTCTACTATATGTTTATATAATTATTTTTTCATTAATGTTGCCATACTTATGTACAAAGTTGAATATGAATATTTACAGTCAAACGTATGTAACCCTGATTTTTTTTCAACTTTAAGTTTGTAACAATATCCAGATTATCTTTTTGTTCTCCATTATTTATCTTTTTTTCCTACCCGCCTACTCTTATCCTTATATTCCTTTTAGTCTTTCTTACTTCTAAATTTCTATTTTTTTCATTTTTATCTTGTTTAATTTTTTTCTCATCTCCCTGAAATTTAATTATCTTTCTTTTTATCGCAGGAATCTTTAACATAATAGTCCTTAACTTAGTAGTCTCTTTATCAAATGCGTTATCCGTACTTTAATCAGTCAAACGTTTTGCTTTAGGTGTTTGCTGCACTAACTAATATTTATTGGTTACTTATCGGCTTTTGTAAGTGTTTACCTCAGTTTTCTATATGCAGATCTTTACATCCGGTCATAATTTTTCACGCTAAAAAATGGACAAATTAATCCAAAGAATCAGGCTGTTATTGACATTATTCACACGGACTACCGTCCTTTTTTTTTTTTTTTTTTTTTTGTAATCAAAATATTTTGTTCAATTTACCCTTTGCCAAGTGCTTCTCGATCCAGATATTTTTGAACAGAACACTTTCTTTAATCTACGGGTATAGTTCAGTTGACTATTTCTAGGGATACTTTGTCCATTTCTATTTACATAAGTACTGAACTGTTGTTAGTCGTCGCTTTACCTGAGTCAATTACACACTTCCCGGGTCTTGGATGGAACACACAATGTATCACCAAATTCAGGAATTAACGTTTTAATGAACTGGCCTGAAGGCTCGCTGGATCCATAAACACCTAGTTAATTACCGAAGTCACAAAATAACAAAAGATGAGGCTAATAGCCCGGGTGTAAATAAGGGTAACCACACATTCCAGTAATTCAGACAAGAATCGGGCTGTTATATATTATCTAATAATTAATCAAATTTTCTTAGTAATGAAATAGAATACAAAAAATTTAAAGTTTGTGTGAGAATTAGGTAAAATATGAATAGTGAGTTACCTGTTGAACAAAAGCTACAGGTATTTAACCCTGTGTCTGATTTACAGAACTCTAGTTAACTCGGATTTGCTCTTGAGGTAACTGGGATCAGTAAGACCTGTAACATAACAAAGCCCGGTTAATGATAACCTGAAAGTACCCGGCTCATCCTGCCATGCTCTATCTTTATAAAAGCCAGATCAGAAAAATGGTGTAGTGATGGTCATACCTTGGCTGGAGCTATCCAATCTTCATTTTCCTGACGTATTGATTTCAAAATCCTTGTGGCTGATAAATTATCTTCCAACATATGACGAAACGTTACTAGCCTTTAGCTACTCTATCAATATTTTCATGACAAATGTTCAGACTAGATACGTTTCTTCACTCAGACCTTTGCAGATAGAACCGGCGGTGTCAGGTAAAAACGGTAGACTCATTCACATTCCATTCGCATTTTATTTGTAAGAAAATAGTTCTGGTTAGACTTTGTGGAACAGACAACCAAGAAGACACTTCCCTGATCGCTACTATCGCAAACTTATCTATTCTGTATATCTTTATAATATGCACTTCATACTCTCGTCCTAACAACAAAATTATTCAAGAAAACTCTGCCTTGAGTTGTTCTTGCGGCTTGTACTGGATGAACAATGGTGTATTAAAAACACTGAAATCTGAAAAAGTTAACTTCATCATGAAGCTTTCTCTTATTTTTCCTATTGAAGGATGAACAATAAAACACTTTGTGTTTTCTGGGGGGAAATATTTTGATATTAGATTTAAAGTAGACTATTTTCGGAACTTGGTACATCTCTATGAAAGGAGAAGGGATGTTAACCATGACGGCAACGAACGGCAGTGACAATTATTTGCGTTGAAGTCCTGGATATTCCTTGAGTTTCTTTCTGAACCAACTAAATGCTTCCAGAATCAAATATAAATATCTATATCTACCCAAATCAAATAAATGTTTATAGACTAACGCAGAGTCAGCAACCTACGACACTCGTGCCACACGTGTCACACCAAGCAATTTTAAATGGCACGCAGCCGCAAATTACATCAGGAAATCCGAATAATTACTACAACGCAAAGATAGTTTGCTGTTTCAAAACTGCTCACTCGTTGAACTCCCATTTATAATAAAATCTAAAAAAAAATCATTAAAAAACAGTTTATTTCAATTAATGTGGTTTACACTATTTACATTATTCGGACTATTGTCCTCATCTTTGTCGCCATATTTATTACAGCGTTTCGGCGTTAAGGCAATAGAGAACTCGGAGAGGGAAATTAACAAGAGATAACTGACAACTGACATCCATTAAACATGGCACGTGGAACTAGAACAGTGTAAACCAGTTAGCGAAATAAAGGGTTTAGTTCGACACTCCAACCACCTGAAGAAAGCCGGAGCGTACAACGGCCAAAACGTTGTAATAAATATGGCAACAAAGATGAGGACAAGAGTCTGAATAATGTAAATATTTTACATAATACTTCATGTCAGAAATATAGACAGATACTAATGTGGTTTACATATTATTGCATCTATTACTATATAAAATATATTGTAGAACAAGTATATTGACATTGATTTAAAAACACGTATGCTCTTGGCACACTGAATAATTTTAAAACCCACAGTCAGCAAATGGTTGTAAAACTTTGAACTAACGTATAAATGATCAATATTCACCTGTTGTCGAACGAAGTAAATGATTATAAATTAAAATATAATGCTAAAAATACTTCTTTCTAATATAATATAACGAAATAAGATAGTATTTACCCTGTCTCCCGATTGAGATGTGATGTGACAGTCGGGTTTAATGTGGGGGAACTGGAGCGCGTAAACCTGAGCCAGGGCCGAACATTTGCGCTGGCATCTGTATTACTACCGACCCTTTTTAGTACAATGAGTTGGAGGTACAACCGTGGGCAGCTATTCCCTAGGACCGGGTAACTTTCAGTATTTTCCCCAGCTTCATCTTTCTCCACGGACAAATAACGAAATAAGGTTTCTGATGTAATAAAGAGCAACATGCCAATGCTTAAGGACACAAATATAATCGGCCATTAATAAATCATTTTTGAATCAAATAATTTATTATTGATTCACATATAATGGTGAAATGTGCTGATTTCGACATTAAATAGCCCATTAATGGTTGACAAGTCATAAAACCAACGAATGCGGCGGAATTGTAATTGTTTACTCAACTGAAAAGGGAATATTGTCTCTATTTTCTTATTTAACCGACGGCACTCTTCAACTAAATTCACATTCAATCAATGATCTTCTGTTAATTCCTTGTTGCTAACTCACTTGCGAATCTGGGCAAAAACAACAATAAAAAAAAATGAACACCCAAAACAAAATTTAGCACTAAGACGCAACGGACTTCTGGGAGTGCAAAAGAATGAGCCATCTTTAGAAGAAGGAAACGGAAAACCAATACTAAACAGGAAACTAAGGATAGACCTTTACTCCTATTCAAAAGACGGAAGGAGTTTAAACCGGGGGATAGGCCATCCTATGTACTCCTATTGAAAAAAGTTAATAAAATAAAAACTAGAATTTCGGGGTGGAGGCGGAGACGTTAAAAGAATAGAATTAAATTAAGAGTACGTGCGATTCAAGAGCGTCTATTCAAGAAAGGACAGTTAATTACGTAAGCGACGTTCTTTAATGAAATTTATGTACTCGTTTAGGTGTTAATATAGTTTAAGTTGCATTATTTCTTAAAGATAAAAAGTGATGTAAAACTAAACTGTCATTTAGGTAATATATATATATATATATATATATATATATATATATATATATATATATATATGTATTCAAAAAGGTTTGGTTAAATAATGTCCATGTCCATTAGTTTTCGTTGTGATACTTTCAAGTTCACGGATTAATTTCTTGGTCGCCTTAGAAAATTGATTAAGAGAAATACCAAAAATGTCTTTCAAATATTTTTTATTTTCCCAAGTCCTTTCAATCTCATCTGAGACCTTCTTCAAGGGCTCAAGTATGCCTTTGAGTATGCATATCTGTTTGTGTATATTCAAAGCTTTTCAACTGCTCGTTTTTATTGCTTCTAGTCGACATGATATGTCTAAATTATTTAACGAAACCTGTTTGAATGAAAGTTTGATGCCTAAAATATACATATATATATATATATATATATATATATATATATATATATATATATATATATATATGTATGTATGTTGAGGGGTCCTCCCTTTTTTACACAAAAATGAGCTCACCCAGTATATACATATACTACTGCTACGTGAAGACCCGACAGAGAGTGCAAGACCGAAGAGGGAGAGTGAAAGGTTGAAGGTAACAGACAGACAGACAGACAAACAGAACGAACGTAGCCAGCAAGAGTCGCAAGAGTCTCAGTGAGCGAGCACGTAGACTCAGTAAGAAGTCATACAGCGATACTTCAATACCAAACACTGTTATAGATATTTTGCTACTAACTTGTATTCCTGAAACTACTAACCTGCTTTACCAGTTTGTCTTATTGCATAAATACATTATTTTCCTATATTCATTCTTGGCGTTTGTTAGTTATTGGTACCGGATTTCATCCCGCAATCCACAACAATATATACACAGAAAATGATATTAAACGCATAAAAAACACCATTATG